ACGCACCAGTTTATGGGACAATTGCCTGATTATATTAAATCAGCTGTGTTCGGTAACGTGGGTAATATGTTGTTTTTCCGAATATCATCTGATGACGCAGTAACTGTAGAGCCTCGTATCGCTCCAAAGTTTACAAAGGACGACGTGGTAAAACAAGAAAACGCAAACTGTATTGCCAGTATTATGGTACGCGGTAAACCTATGCCAGCGTTTAACATGTTTACTGTTTTTGACGGATATGCCCCAAAGGGTAATCCTGACCAAGTTGCACAAGTAAAACAGCTCTCATATCTGAAATACGGCCGCCCACGCGCCGAGATCGAGGCGGAGATTATGGAGAAATACAGAATGTTTTAAAATAAAATTCCTCACAATGTGAGGAATTTTATTTTATGGGTGACTGACTTGGGAATCGGTCACGGTCGCATAGTCGCTCGTCCTTCGAATACCTCAGGACAAGCTCCTTGCGCCTCGACCTCGACTCGCGACGGCTCGTACCTCGCCGACTTTATTCGCTCCGTCTTTCAACTCCCTCGAAAACACGTTGTGTTTTCGTATTCACCTCAGGTACTAAAAAATACGAGAAAGAATCTCGTATTTTTTAGTACTGGGTGACTACTGGGAATCGAACCCAGACTAAGGGCACCACAAACCCTTGTGCTAACCGCTACACCATAGCCACCATCGATCTTACTTGTATTAAAAAATAAGACGTGATGAGTATAGACGAAAAGACTTGAAAAATCAAGCACTTTTTTCAGAGAAATGACACTATTCTATAACTGGTCAATGTATTATTTGACAGAGGTGAATTGTATAACAAGTATGTGCCTCAGCTAACCAGTGGCACGCAAGCATATATGAATGTAAATATCAAAGGACTTCACATGGACATGACATCAGCACTGACTGATTATATTCATACAAAGGTGAAACATTTAGAAAAGTTTACTCCTGCGGATGCGTATATTTATGTAGAGTGCGGTAAAACCAGCCAGCATCATAAAACAGGAGATCAGACCTATATGGCAGAAATCACGATGCGGGTTGCAGGTAATACTTATTATGCTCGAGTATATGGCGCAGATACGTATCGCAATATCAATGCCGTAACGCATGATATTGCTCAGCAATTAAAAAACACACAGAGTAAAAAACGCTCACTCTTTAAACGCGGCGCCGCAAAGATTAAAGCGATGTTTAGGAGGGGGTAGTACCCGCAAAATACCCAAAAGGGTATTTTTGTTTGACAAAAAACCTTATTTTTGCTAGGATTGACGGGTCTTGTCTATCTGTAGACTCCTCCTGCTAGAGATTTCTACGGAACAAAATAGACAACCATTAGGGTCATCCTTGAGTGTGTGTAAAGGGATTGGCTTACAGACTAGGGCGTCCAGAACTTTTTATAAGTTCGGATTAGCCTAATATTTATTCAACACACGTTAAACATTTTTTAGGATTTTTTAATCCTGTTATATCACATGGCTAGATCAATATACAAAGGTCCCTATGTCGATGTAAAGCTGATGAAAAAAATAGAAGGGAAAAAACCTCTGGAAACAGGAGTTATTAAAACCTGGGCGCGTGCGTCACAGATTACCCCTGAAATGATCGGATTTACATTTGGCGTTCACAATGGTCGTAAACATATCGAAGTTCTCGTTTCTGAGGACATGGTAGGACACCGTTTAGGAGAATTTTCTCCAACACGTACCTTCCACCGTCACGGAGGTAAAATGCAGAAAGAGCTCGATCAGAAGAAGAAAGAAGCAGAAATTGCAGCAGCTAAAGCAGCTAAAGCATCTGCCGCTTCTAAGAAATAATTTAAAGGAGTATTTTTATACCATACAAATATTTTTTAACTTTTCAGGGTACGGGTCGTCTCTGAAAATATATAAAAATTTCGACGCCCTCATTCTCGGCGGTCACTACCTATTAGGGTAGCGACAATTTTTGTCAGACTGCCTCCGAAAGCCCCTTCAAAGTTATACAATATTTGTATAAAAAAATACTTAATTATTCTATTATGAAAGCAGAACTTAAAAACTACCGTCAATCTCCACGTAAGGTGCGTTTGGTGGGAAATCTTATCCGTGGTAAATCAGTTGATCGAGCACTCCTTGATCTAAAATTCCTCGGAAAACGTGCAGCACATGCATTTGAAAAACTCGTGCACAGTGCGGTTGCCAATGCGCAGCACAACTTTAATATTGGATCTGAGAAACTTGTGATTAAATCACTCTCAGTTACCAAAGGTCCAACACTTAAACGTATGATGCCTGCATCTCGTGGTCGCGCTCACCGTATTAACAAACGTACGTCTATTATCAACCTAGAACTTACGCAGAAATAATTATGTCAAAAGTAGTACATCCTTATGCGCATCGTCTACCACTTATTCGTGGATGGCGTAGTCGTTGGTTCAAAAGTGGTAGTGCGTACGCCGCTACACTGGTTGCCGACACAAAAATTCGTGAATACCTTGAGAAAAAACTAAAAACTGCATCAGTATCAACTATCGATATTGAACGTGGTCCAGGTATTACTCGTGTACTCATTCACACAGCTCGTCCAGGTATTATTATCGGACGCAGTGGTGAAGGAGCAAACGCTCTCAAAGCTGACCTATTAAAATTCTTCAAGAAAAACAAACTGGAAATTCCGGCTGACTTGAAAATAGATGTTATCGAAGTTACTAATCCTGATGCTGACGCAAAAATCATTGCACTTTCTATTGCAGAGATGCTTGAAAAACGCATGACGTTTCGTCGTGTTCTGAAAATGACTACTGAAAAAGTCATGCAGGCACGTGGCGTGAAAGGAGTAAAAATCACCCTATCAGGTCGTCTGGGTGGTGCAGATATGGCACGAAAAGAATCTCTTAAACTTGGTGGAATCCCACTTCAGTTCATGCGCGGTGATGTTGATTATGCAACACATGCAGCTCGTATGAACTATGGAGCACTTGGAATCAAGGTTTGGATTTATCGTGGTGATTCTTTAACCCAAAAATAAATTGTAAAAGTCTACAAAAATCACGAACTTCTTCGTTAAACTTCATAATTTTTTCCTCAACGTATATACAATACGTCTCGTTAAAAATTATTTGTTTGCCTTGAATTTCATTGATTTTGTGTAAACTTTTGAAAAACACTTATGTTATTTCCTAAAAAAGTAAAACATCGCAAATGGCAACGTGGACGAAAGTCTCCAGAAGCTCTTGCAAATATGAAGGCGACACGTGGAACAAATCTCCAGTTTGGAGCGTTTGGTCTACGTGCTACATCACCTGCACGTATTAAATCTAATCAACTCGAAGCAGCCCGCAAAGTAATCTCTCGTACAGTTGGTAAAACTGGTAAATACTGGATTCGTGTATTCCCAGATCAACCAATTACTGCAAAAGCAGCAAACGTAGGTATGGGTAAAGGTAAGGGGGATCCACAAGGATTCTGTTTCGAAATTGAACCAGGTCGTATTATGTTCGAGGTAGACGGTGTCACAGAGGCCATTGCCCGCGAAGCACTCCGTAAAGGAGGATGTAAATTACCAGTAACCGTGCGTATCATTAGTCGCGAAACTATGTAATCATTATGAATACACAAAACAATCCAAAGGTACTTACGGGAACTATTGTTTCTGATAAAATGCAGAAAACTGTAGTGGTACTGGTAAAGCGTTATGTAAAACATCCGAAATATCATAAATATATGAAAATTTCTAAACGTTACAAAGCGCACAATCCTGATCTGTCTGTATCAGTAGGTGACCAGGTAGCCATCCGTGAATGCCGTCCAATGTCAAAAGACAAGCATTTTATATTAATAGCTAATAATGCATAACCGTTATGATTCAAGTAGGAACCAATGTTCAAATTGCCGACAACACTGGTGCCAAGAAAGCTCGCGTTTTCAAGGTACTCGGTGGATCAAAGCGTCGTTACGCATTTGTTGGTGATATCGTGGTACTCTCAGTTAAATCTGCAGAGCCACGTAAATCGGTCAAGAAAAAAGACGTTCTTCGAGCTGTTGTAGTTCGTCAGCGCGTACCAGTGCGTCGTCGTGATGGGTCTTATATCCGTTTCGATGAAAACGCAGTAGTAATATTAGCAAAGGACAAAGAACCAAAAGGAGGTCGTATCTTTGGTCCTATACCTCGAGAGATTAGTGAACTCGGGTATCAAAAAATAGCATCTCTGGCTCCAGAGGTACTGTAATTAAATCTTAATTTAAAATATTTTTCACAAAAATTATCCCCTCACTATTTTGCGGGAGCGTTCGGATCATATATTATATCCGATATCACGGTGTGGGTAATCCTCACTAGGTCCTCAAATAGTTCAAGAATAATTATTTGTTACAAATATTTATTTTCCTTTATGAAAATCAAGAAAAATGATACCGTTATTGTTCTCTCAGGTAAGGACAAAGGTAAAAAAGGTCTCGTAATAAAAGCTATTCCCAAAGAAGATAAAGTAATTGTAGAAGGCGTACATGTTTTGAAAAAAGTAGTAAAAGCACGTGTTCGCGGTGAAAAATCAACCGTGGTCGAGAAACCCTATCCGATTGCAGTTTGCAAAGTAGCAAAAGCAGAATAATCTGCCTATAAATAATATGAGTATCTTAAAAGAAAAACAAGTTTCAAGTTTTGAAACCCTCTCAAAAGAGTTCGGTATTAAAAACCGTCTTGCTGCACCTCGTGTTCAGAAAGTAACCATCAACGTAGGTATCGGTTCAGCTATGAAACGTGACCGTAACCGTAAAGATTTTGTTATTGATCGTTTATCTAAAATCACTGGGCAACGTCCAAGTGTTCGTGGATCTAAACAGTCAATTGCAAGTTTCAAGGTTCGTGCAGGTGACCCGGTAGGTGTTTCAGTAACACTCCGCGGCGCACGTATGTGGTCATTCCTCGATAAATTGGTTCATGTGTCATTCCCACGTACCAAGGATTTCCGCGGTATCGCTCGCACCTCAGTTGATAAGCTTGGTAACCTTAACATGGGTATCAAGGAGCACACTATTTTCCCAGAAGTGTCAGATGAAGAAATCAGCAACGTGTTCGGTATGTCTATCGTAGTTACTACTACTGCAGACTCACGTCCTGTTGCGCTTTCTTTCTTTACACACCTCGGATTCCCTCTCAAGGCAGAGGACGAGATTAAACGTAAAGCACCTCGTAAGCGTGGTAAATAGTTTCTTAACAAAAACCCCTTGCGGGGTTTTTGTTTTCTATGATATACTAATCTTGTCATTTATTAATCAAATTTGTTCTTAATTTATTATGAAATCATTTATTAAACCTTTACTATTTATCACAGCATTTATCCTTGTAGGGTTCTTTGGTGCGGAATATGCATCAGCACAACAAACATATTTCCTGGACCCAACGTTTGATCCTGGGACAGGTCTTAACAGTGACTCCTTTAACGGAGAGGTACAACCAGACCAAAAACTTGTATTACCTGGTGCTTTTACACAATACAACGGAACTACTGCAAATCGTATTGTACGTATCAATACTGACGGTACCATCGACAGCACTTTTGCTACTAATGTGGGAACCGGTTTTAACAACACAACGTATGGTGTGACCATACAACCAGACGGTAAGATTATTGTTGTAGGAGTATTCTCTCAGTTTAACGGTGTTGCACGTAATAGTATTGTACGTCTTAATGCTGATGGAACACTTGATACCTCGTTTAACGCAACAGCTGCATTCCCAGGAGTTCTAACTTTTTATCATACTTCAGTACAAGCTGACGGCAAGATAGTAATCGTAGGAAATTATTCTGCTACTGTAATAGGGGGTATTACTTATCGACACTTAATTCGCTTAAACAGTGATGGAACAATCGATCCAACATTTGACCCTGCATTCGTGGGAGCCTCTACGTCATTTTCGCGTATTCAGTCAGATGGAAAAATAATTGTAACAGGGGGTAATTGGACAGTGGATGGTATTCCACGTTCTCGTATTGTACGTCTTAATACTGATGGAACAGTTGATACAACTTTTGATCCTGGAACAGGTTTTAATGGTAATGTACATCGTAGTGCAATATTGGCCGATGGAAAAATTATTACTGTTGGTGCTTTCACGGTGTTTAACGGTAGACCAATAAACCGTGTTGCTCGATTAAATCCAAATGGAACACTTGATACTACGTTTAATGTAGGAACAGGTTTCAATGCTGGACAACCTGCACCACTCTTTATCCAACCTAACGGCAAAATGGGTATAACAGGTGCTTTCACTAGTTACAACGGTGTAGCACGCAACGGTGTAGCACGTCTTAACTCAGATGGAACTCTTGATGCTACCTTTGATACTGCTAGTGGTATTACTGGAGGGGTTGCAAATGCAGATATCCTTTCACAGCATTACCTTGGCAACGAAAAATTCTACATTGCAGGAACATTTACTGCATATGACGGAGTTTCACGCAACCGTGTAGCACGTATTAGATACATCGACACCACCGCCCCAGTTGTTTCTCTGGTAACTATCGCTTCAAACAACACTACCAGTAAAGCATACGCAGCTAATGGAGATATGATTACTCTTTCATTTACGGTAGATGATGCGATTACGGCGTCTACTGTCACTATTGGTGGAGTAACTGTAACAGCATCATGTCCTGATATAGGACTTGCAACGATTCTTTGTACAGCAACATTACCTGTTACTAGTACAACACCAAACATGGAAGGAGTTGTGCCATTCTCAATCTCTCTGACTTCAGGAGGAGGTACTACAGGTCCTATAACTATTACAAACGATGGTTCAGTAGTTACTATTGATAGGTCTACAAGACTTTTTATTGCATCTGCTGGATCTAGTGGCGTATATCTTACTTCAGGAGGTAAAGACACTACTCCTACTCCAGTAGTAAGTACACCAGCTCCTACTACACCAATACCAGTAGTTACCACTCCTACAGTAACACCATCAGTCACCTACATCTCACCAGTAGACGGTACTACTGCAGCATGTCGTCCGTTTAATAACTACCTTAAGATAGGTAAAAAGAATGATACCAATGAAGTAAAACTCTGGCAGTCATTCCTTAATAAACACATGGGAGAAAAACTCACGGTGTCAGGTATTTACAACAAAACTACCGAATCAGCTATCAAACGCTTCCAATCTAAATACACTACAGAAATCCTCACTCCATGGGGACTCACTAAACCTACAGGGTACACCTACCAATCAACACGTGCCCAAGGAAACAAAATCCTGGGTTGTAGTGAAGGACCAGTAACCCTAGATAACGGAGTAGTGATTAAATAGTTTTTACAGAGGCCCTTGAGGGGGTTTTTGTTGTAACTAAAATCTTGCATATTGCAATGAGGGTGATATACTACAACCATTAAAAACTATTAATTTTAACCGCTAATTTATTTATGAAAAAATTTATCACATTATTCACCGGAGCAGTATTTGCAATACTTCCTATGCTTCAAGCAACGGTTGTTTTTGCTGCTGCACCCACAGTAACACCAGTAACTATTGCATCTAATAACGCTAATGCTGCATATGCAAAAGACGGTGACGTTATTACGTTATCTTTTACATCCAATGAATACCTCTCGGCTACTGATGGATATTGGAGTAGGATTTTTGCGAGCGTAGGCACAAATCCATTTGGTATAGCATTTGATAATAGTGGAAACCTATATGTAAGTAATTACGGATCAAATAATATACACAAGGTAACCCCCGCAGGATCTTCGTCTGTGTTTGCAACAGGATTAGGAATGCCTACATATATGAAAACGGACTCAGCAGGAAATATTTATTTTGGTTTGTTTGATGGTAGCCACAAACTTTATAAAATTGACCCTACTGCTGGTACAACTACCCATATTGGAACCTTTCCAGCACATCCATATGATTCATATTTAGATAAAACAACTGATACATTGTACACAGCTATGTGGAATCTAAACGGGCTTTATAAAACACCGCTTACTGGAGGGTCAGCAGGTACCCCAGTGTCATTTGCAACGGTTGGAGGACAACCAGACTCAGTAGTATTAGACTCATCAGGTAATGCATATGTAACTAATAACTCAACAAAAGATATTTCAAAGGTGACACCTGCGGGAGTTTCTACAGCTTCTTGGGTAGATATGACTGCGGTTGGGATGTCGCTAGGTATCGCTGATATCACCAAGGATTCATCAGATAATTTATTTGTACTTGGTCATGCTGCTGCAAGTAGTATCGTCGGTAAGATAACACCATCTGGAACAGCAACCTCTTTTGTTACTAATGCAGCTATGGGTATTGCAGGACATTCACACGCTATTACTGCTGATACTTCAAACAATATCTACGTAGCTAACTATAGCGATGACAGTGTTTCGCGTATTACTCCAAGTGGTTCATACATAAGAATACCAACAACAGGAGGTACAGCGCCACGTGAAATTGTTACTGATACTTCAGGAAACATATATACCTCAAACTGGTCCTCAAACAATGTTTCTAAGATGTCTCCCATCCTCGCCACCACCGCCACCATCGCAGGACAACCAGCAACAGTAGTATGTACACCATCAGCAGGTAATTTACCACCAGTAAACTGTACGGCTACCGTAACCGTAATACCCGCTATGGCAGAGGGAGTATCCTCGCCACCACCGCCACCATCGCAGGACAACCAGCAACAGTAGTATGTACACCATCAGCAGGTAATTTACCACCAGTAAACTGTACGGCTACCGTAACCGTAATACCCGCTATGGCAGAGGGAGTAGTAGCATTTAGTGTCACTGCTAAATCAGTAGACGGTACTACTACCGTAACTTCTACCACAGACAGTACTACGGTAACTATCGATCGTACTGCTCCAACCATCTCCCTCACTTCACTCGGAGGAGACACAGGAGCTCCCTATGTTACCAATGACACCACTCCAGATGTAGTATTTGCTACCACTGCAGGTGACACCGTAACTATCGCTGGCTACACATGTACCCCTACTCCTGCAACAGGAGCAAGTGTTACTTGTACCAAAGACGCTCCAGCATATGCATCAGGAACTCAATCAATCACTCCTACCATCACTGATGCAGCAGGGAACAGTACTACCGGTTCAGCTATCTCATTTGATGTAGTAACTACTACAGCTACTCCAACCACAGCTCCTGACCTCCAGTCAGCTTCAGATCTTGGTACTTCAGCTACTGACAACATCACCTCTGACAACACACCAACCTTTGATGTAGTATGTTCTGCAGTAGGTTCTGTGGTAAAAATCTACTCTAACCAACCAGCTGCTAACACACTCGTAGCTACTCATACCTGTACAACAACAGCAGCAGAGGCAGTAACCGTCTCTACACTCTCTGATACTACTCACAGTATTACCTATACTGAAACTGTATCACCAGCTACTGAGTCTCTACACTCTCCATCACTTTCAGTAACCGTAGATACAGCGGCTCCGAGTACTCCAACTACAGCACCAGATCTCCAAACTGGATCAGATACAGGGTCATCATCAACTGACAACATCACCTCTGACAATACACCAACACTGGATGTAACCTGTAGTGCTATCGGTAATGTCATTACGCTCTCAACAGGTACTACTCATACATGTACTACCGTAGGAACAGCATCAGTAACACTCTCACCAGCGCTTGCTGATGGTACCGTGAGTATCACCTATACTGAAAAAGACGTTGCAGGAAATACCTCAGCAGCTTCACCAGCACTCTCAGTAACGGTAGACACTACCGCTCCTACTGCTCCTACTCTTGTATCAGTAGGCTCTGACACCTCAGCTCCTTACATTACGAACGACAATACACCTAACATTGTCTTTACCGTAGAGTCAGGTGCAACCGTAACAGCTACAGGATTTACCTGTATTACCGTAGCTACTACTGCTACCTGTACTCGTACTACTGCGTACGCTGATGGTGCTCAAACCATGACACCAACCGTAACTGACGCTGCAGGAAACAGTACCGTAGGAACACCAGTATCATTCACTATTGATACTATCCCTCCAACTACTCCTACCATCACTACACCAAGTTCAGTAATCACTACAGGTACACACACTCTTTCAGGAACGTGTGATATCACGGTAGCTATAGTAAACATAACAGGTACAGGATTCACTCCATCTCCTACTACCACTACCTGTAGTGGAGGAACCTACAGTACCTCACTAAATGTTACTGCAGGAGGATCTATTATTGCCTCACAAACAGATATTGCAGGCAATACTTCATCTACCACCCATACCTACACACTTACCTCATCTGGTGGAGCTGGTGGATCATACAGTAGTGGTATTGCTACAGGTAACACCACAAGTAGTGTTACCACTACCAACAGTACTACCATATCTGCAAAACCTGTTACTACCCCAACAGAAGTAAAAGCACTTGCTAAACCACAATGTTTCATCAATTATACTCGCCTGATCAAACCACGTATGCGAGGAAATGATGTAAAACAAGCACAAGTGTGTATGACTTCTCTCGGACATGAATCAGGACCATTTGATGGTCTCTATGGTAAACTTACTCATGCAGGTATTCTCTCATACCAAACAACTAACAAACTCCGTATTGATGGTATTATTGGACCAGAAACCGCTGGGCACCTCAATGCACTCTCTGGAGTTAAATTGGATGGTGTGACGCCGTTGAAATAGTTATGGACAAAACTCTCGGAAGGGGGTTTTGTTTTGAGATAATATCTTTCTAATGTATACTAGGGATAATGCAAAAACATATTGAAAACCTATTAAAACTTATTCAAGGTGATATTGAAAACTCTTCAGAAATTCTTAATTCTCATGCTCGTGATGCGAGTATTTTTCAGGTAGTGCCAGAATTGGTAATATTTCCTAAAAACTCTGATGATATTAAACAGATAGTACGGTATGTAGCGCAGCAGAAAATTTTAGGACAAGACATCCACCTAACCATGCGCGCGGCCGGGACCTGTATGTCTGGGGGTTCGCTCAATACGAGTATTATTATCGACACGACGCGATATATGAATGCATTACTTGAAATCACTGACGAGTATGTACGCATGCAGCCAGGACTGTATTATCGAGACCTAGAGATAGAAACTCTCAAACATAATCGCATCATGCCGGCATTTACTGCCAGTAAGCATTTGTGTGCCGTGGGAGGTATGTTTGGTAATAACTGCGCAGGTGAAAAAACACTTAAATATGGCAAGATGGAGGACTACGTACTACAGACCAAGGTTATCTTTACTGACGGTAACGAGTACACCGTAAAACCTTTAACCAGGTCGCAACTTGATCAAAAAATTTCCCAAGGAGATTTCGAAGGAAATATGTATAAACAGGTGTGGGATATAATCCAGGAAAACGGAGAATTAATCACCACAGAAAAACCAATTGTCTCTAAAAACTCAGCAGGGTATTACCTGTGGAATGTATGGGATTCTGAAAAGCATATCTTTGATCTCAACAGACTCCTTGTCGGGTCTCAGGGGACTTTGGGTATCGTTACTGAGATGATTTGGAAGATTGTCCCTGTAGAGCATCAGTCAGCAATGCTTGTGACGTTTTTACCTGATATTAAAAATCTGGGTGATTTAGTAAATCTCTGCAAAACTGTTTCTCCGAGTAGTATTGAATCATTTGATGACTATAGTATGAAATTTGCGTTTAAATTTGCTACTGACTTTATCGAGCAATTAGGATTGTGGGGAGCGATAAAACTAGGACTGCGATTTATCCCTGAAGAGATCCTCATGCTTAGAACAGGTATCCCTAAGCTCATTCTCATGACTGAAGTAACAGGGGACAATGAGGTAGAGTTACTTGAAAAATTGGAGGTCTTAAAAAGACAGACCACTGAAAAGTTTGGGTATATTTCCCGTATTTCTCGTGCAGCAGATGCAGAGAAATATTGGCGTATCAGACGAGAGAGTTTTAATCTCTTGCGTAAACATGTTCAAGGGCTTCACACTGCGCCATTTATCGATGATGTGGTAGTACCTGTTGAGACTCTATCAGAGTTTTTACCGCAGATCACTGCAATACTTGATCGTGAAGGATTTATTTATACAATAGCAGGACATGCAGGTAATGGGAATTTTCACATTATACCACTCATGGATTTTAAAAAACCGGAAACGATCGAGACTATCCAGAGAGTATCGACAGAAGTGTATACACTGGTGACGAGTCTCCATGGGTCAATTACGGCCGAGCACAATGACGGACTCATCCGTACCATGTTCCTCCCGATGCAGTTCTCGTCTGATATGATTAACTTATTTAAAAAGACCAAAGAAGCGTTTGATCCACAGTATATTTTTAATCCAAATAAAAAGGTTAATACAAATACATCATATAATCCGTTACAGTATATTATCAAACAATAAGTAGGGGACACGGCATTGTTAGTCTAAATCGTCAAAAAACACCTTTTAGGTGTTTTGTTTTACTTATTTTTTACTCCATACTATAATATATATATGAAAAAAAATAATCTTAAAAATTTACGAGGGTTTACTGTACTGGAACTCCTCATTGTTATTGCCATGATGGTATTACTCATGGGTATGGTGCTCGTGGGACTTAATAACTCTCGTAAAAACGCACGCGATCAGGAACGTATTTCAAATATTAAGCGAGTTCAGATAGGACTGTCTCAGTTTTATCAGGTATGTGGACACTATCCGCCTACCTTGGCTGCTAGTTCTATTTTTACCACCGCAACATGTCCTGCGCTGGGTTCCGGAACGGCGACCTATAAAACTTTCAAAGATTTTGTCTCTGACATTACTTCACTTAATTTTAATAGTACTGGTTCGAGGTATAAATATGTATCTCTTACATATGTATCGGGAGGTAGTGGTGCACAGTGTAGTGGGTATCATATAGGTGTGGATTTAGAAGAAACAAGTAATGCGCTAGCTACCAAAGACAGTCAATTTAATTCCGCTGCGCTCCCTACAGGAATACACACATGCAACACACCTAACCCTAACCCTTTTAATGGAACTACCCCAGGAGTGTATGACGCAATGGTAAACTATTAATCGTTATGTCACTATTATTTGTATTATTATTTTTTATACTTGGTACTATTATTGGGAGTTTTCTCAATGTTTTAGTGGTACGTGGTCATGATGGTGTAAGTTTAGGTGGTCGTAGTATGTGCGTACATTGTTATAAGCAAATACCAGTCGTGTATCTCATACCGATACTGGGATATTTACTCTCAGGGAGAAAATGCTTTTCGTGTAGTAAGTCTATTTCAATTAGGTATGTTATAGGTGAGGCAGTACTTGGAGTATTGTTTGCACTGATAGCTTTTTTTCTCGTAATTCCTGTTTTTGTACCGACCATTCAATTTATTTTTATTACTCTGGGGACGTTGATATTTGTGAGTACATTATTTTATATAAGTTACTATGATATCCTATACCAAGAAATTCCGACGGTATCACTTATTGTGCTACTAGTTCTTATTATCTTACAACATATTACACACAGTTTTCACTTAGAAGTTTTTTTTGGACTATTGGCAGGACTTCCATTTTTCATAATTTGGCTTATTTCACGTGGTAAACTCATTGGTTTAGGTGATATTTTCATTATGGCACTCACAGGACTACATTTGGGACTTTTCTTGGGAGGTTCAGCAATAATTCTGGCTTTTTGGGCGGGGAGTATTTTTGGTATTTTATTTATCCTGTATCAAAAATTGGTTTACAAAAAAGATTATGCTGTCATTCGTACGATACCGATACCGTTCGGACCTTTTCTCATAAGTGCGTGGTTGTTTACCTATGTGTTTCAATTTAACATATTGAGTTTATTTTTATTATAATTTCATGTTATACTGTGCACATATGAAACCAGGTCCGTTTTTTAAAAAAGATTTAAAACTCAAAGCTTTTACCTTGGTAGAATTTATTCTTATTCTAAGTATTTTTTCTATTATGGCAGGCGTAACAATGTTTAATTTTAATGGGTTTAGGTCAAATATTGCGATGGAGAATTTGGCATATGACGTAGCGCTCTCTATTCAAAATATTCAACAACGCGCAGCATCTGGGGCTAATCTGACCACTACTAGTGCGGCTACTTCATCCGGTATATTCCAAGGGATTCAATTTACAAAACTTAGTACAGGGGGCTATAGTCCAGAATTTATACTTTTTCAAGATAGAGTCACCCAGAATCAGCGATACGACAGCACGTCATTTGGTGAGCTTATTGATAGGATTAAGATTCAATACAATGAATATGTAAAGAATATTGAGTATAATAGCAGTAGTAATTTTGCTACAGGGTCAACAACGCTAAATAACGATGTTGCCATACTGTTCAAGCGTCCATGGCTTGATGCATATTTTTATGACTTACCTCCAGGGGGTGGTGCAGGTAATTTACTTAACGCAAACACTGCTCAATATTTACGCATAACACTAGCTAGCGGTGGAAACATAAGTGACCCATGTGGAACAGGAGGGGTTTCTTGTAAATATATTATTATTTCCCGTGCAGGACAGGTAAGCGTTAAATAGTAATTATTACTAAACTATGAAAAAAACATTATTACAATTAAAAGGATTTACTCTCATCGAGGTGATGGTAGCGGTCTCTATTTTTACTGTGGTAGTAACTATTGGCATTGGAGCGCTCATGTCAGTTATTTCGACAAATAAAAAGATCCAGGCACAACGAGAAATAGTAAACGGACTATCATTTGCCTTGGAGACTATGGGACGTAGGTTGCGTTTGGCTGATGTAACACAGCCAATTAATACTGGTTCAAATTTTATTCAATTTCTTGATTCAGAGACACAGACGGGTCTCCTTTATCAGAGGACAGCCACTAATAAAATCACTGTTTCCAGTGGTGGGCAGCAGATAGAGATTACACCGACAGGTTTTGAGGTAACAAAGTTTGAGAGTGTTGCACTAGGAACAGGTACTAAGAAATTAATTACACTACGTATTGTCGGCAATATTAATACTGGGAGTAGTACTACGCCTATTTCTATGCAGACATCTATTTCCCCTAGGTCGTTATAATATCTTTTTATGAAAAAATTTCTTCACAAATTAAAAGGTTTTACAGTGCTGGAGACACTATTTGCGGTAGTGATATTTTCACTTGCACTGGTAGCACTTTTGGCTGTTTCGGGACAGGGAGTTATTGCAGTATCAAGTGCCAAAGAGGAAATGATTGCAAGTTATCTCAATCAAGAAGCAATCGAGGCAATTAGATGGTATCGTGACAATAAAAAAACATCCACAACGCCACCTCCAAGTTTCCCCGCTACTTATATACCTGATATTATGCAATGTCTTACAAGTCCAACACAGACACGATTTTGTAATGTTATAATTCCCCCAACAGGTGTCGGCACTCCTTCGTTTTCTGCGTGTGGTTCTAGTTGGGCATTTAATAATTGTAATATTATGTATGAAAATAACGGTGTTTATACCAGCGGTGCATCAACAGGTGCTTCAGCAACAGTGTTTAAGCGTGGTACTACAATAAATCTGGACCTCACAAATAGTAGTGCACGGGTAGTTAGTCGTGTTACTTGGACATCAAAAGGAATTGATAGAGTGCATGAATTACAAGTAGTTTTAAAAGACTGGTAATATGAAAAAATTCTTGCAACAAATAAAAACGAGCAAAGGCTTTGTAATACTCTTTGCGGTAATTATATCAACCATTATCATGTTGATTAGTTTTGGTATTTTTACGGTTGCCACAAAATCAACTTTATTATCGACTAACTCTAAAGAAGTTTTAGCTGCTTTTTATTCTGCAGATAGTGGTATGGAGTGCGCACTTCATATGATAAAATCAGGGACACTTACAACTACTGGCGCAACAAATCCTATATGTGGATCAGAGGTATATGCGGCACCATCAAATTTTCCTACATCTGCATTAGCTCGACCGATAACAGCTCATCAATTTATTGTTACGTATGCTAGTGGTGGTTGTGCACATGTTGAAATCAACCAAACAGTTTCACCAAATACAACATCAGCAGGTGCGGCAATGTATATTACAAAAATATATTCTAGGGGATTTAATCGATGTAACGTAAGTAGTGCGGCAGTTGGTGGAGTACTTGCGGGCTATCCTTTTACTACAGATCCTCGATTATTAGAACGAGTATTAGAGGTAGAGTTTGAGGCACCGTAATATTTAAAATACTGCAAAAGGGGCGAGCCTGCGGCTCGCCCCTTTTGTGTTGTTTTGGTATACTGTATTACATGAAATTGGAGAATATTAAAAAACGTATAAAAATCCTGTCAGAGCAAGTACAGTACCACGCAGAGCGATATCATACTCATGATGATCCTGAAATCTCTGACCAGGCTTATGATGCCCTGGTGCGAGAACTCAGAGAACTCGAGGAGGAATACCCAGAATTTAAAATAACTGATACAGATAAAAAATCAGTAACCGAAAAAGTCGGAGGCAAGATCCTTGATGGTTTCGAGAAAACACAGCACGTACTACCACAGTGGTCATATGACAATGTTTTTGGTATGGATGAACTCTCACAATGGGATGAACGTAATAGGAAAATCCTAGATAAATCTAATCATCTTCGTGCCAGAGAGAGGTGGCAATATTGTTGTGAATTAAAAATCGATGGATTAAAAATCGTGCTTACCTATCGAGATGGAAATCTGGTTACAGGTGCTACCCGCGGTGACGGATCAATCGGTGAGGATATCACTGAAAACATAAAAATGATTCGTACTATCCCGCAGAGAATTTCTGACAGTAGACACATGGTAGTAGTAGGGGAGGTGTGGATGAAAAAATCAGACCTCTTAGAAATAAATAAACAAAGAGAGATTGACGGATTACCAAAATACGCAAACCCTCGTAACCTGGCAGCGGGGACATTACGGCAACTCGATACGAGTATGGTAGCCAGTAGAGACCTCCAGGTGTTTTGTTATGATATTTCAATTATCTCAGATGTATATGCGTTTACGTCACACTCGCAAGAGCTTACCTCTCTCAAACAACTTGGTTTCCCGGTAAATCAATATACAGAAACCGTAAGCTCACTTGAAAAAATCCAAACCTATGTAGACATGTGGACCAGTAAACGACACCACCAGGAGTACGATATCGACGGCGTGGTGATAAAGTTGGACGATGTAGATTTGCGAGAGCCACTGGGATACACGGCAAAGTCTCCACGTTTTGGTGTGGCGTATAAATTCCCGGCAGAGGAGGTGACGACCGTGGTAGAGGATATCGACATACAGGTAGGCCGCACGGGAGTACTCACTCCTGTGGCACACCTCCGTCCAGTCCAGGTAGCTGGATCGGTCGTGTCACGCGCAACACTGCACAATCAGGACGAGATTGACCGACTGGATGTATGTATTGGTGATACAGTAATCCTCCGCAAAGCAGGCGACATCATCCCAGAGATTGTTCAGGTGTTACCAGAATTTCGCACAGGTAAGTCAAAAAAATTTACCATACCTGACAACTGTCCTGCGTGTAGTGAGCCTGCAAGTACCAGATCAGGTACTACGGGTGAGCAATCAGTAGCACTGTATTGTAACAACAGAAATTGTCCTGCACAGAACCTCCAAAACATCATCCACTATGCTTCGAAAAAAGCCATGAATATCGTGGGTATGGGGGAAAAGATTGTCGAGCGGCTCATCGATGAGGGACTCATTGCTAATCTGCCTGATATCTATAAAATACAAAAGTCAGATTTAGAAAACTTAGAAAACTTTGGTGACTTGTCAGCGAGTAATCTCATAGAGAGTATTGAAAACAGTAAGTCCGTAACCCTGGCGAGATTTCTCTTTGCACTTGGGATACCACACATTGGACAGGAGACTGCGGAATTGGTTGCTGACACCATTAACACTGATCAAAAAAACCTTTTTCATGTATTAACAAGTATAACCGAGGAACAATTAATTGCTATAGATGGTATTGGTCCAGGGGTTGCGGGATCGTTTGTGGATTATATGACCGATGCAGAGCGAGGGGAAATAGTGAGGGAGTTGTTGGATATATTAAAGATTAAAATCCCATCCCCAACCCTTCCCGAAGGGAAGGGGGTTACACCAAAGAAACTCGAAGGGAAAATATTCGTATTAACCGGAACTCTCCCAACACTCTCGCGGGACCAGGCACGGGATATGATTAAATCCGCTGGTGGCAAGGTATCGTCCAGCGTGTCATCTAAAACAGACTATATCCTCGCAGGGTCCGACCCAGGGAGTAAGTATGATGAGGGAGTAAAACTGGGGATTAAAATAATTTCTGAAAGTGATTTGACAAATATGGTAAAATAAACTACACTATATTTGAATTTTTAAACAGTTAAATTTTTTAGAATGAAAAAAATAAAAAAATTGTATTTTGATGCAATAAGCATAAGAAGGTGTGGAGGTATTTCCGAGACAAGATTAGGTATCTCTATTGTTTTTAGAGAAAAGAAGCGTGACCGTACGGGACGTGATTATGTTATTATTATTTCTCCGTCTATTGGAAGAGGAAAGGTAAAAACCGTTGACTCATTAGTACTTACTAGTACTTTAATGAGATTAATTGATTGCACACCTAATAAGGTTCTTGAAAGTTTAAAAGAATACCCAGATCAAATAGAATGTACTTTTAAGGGTAGAAAATTAATTTCATTTAAAATAGGAGAAGAAGTTTTTAAAGAAGACAACAAATAATTGGTATTTTAATAGTTCTTACAAAATGATGGTAAATAATGCCATCATTTTTTATGTAAAGTTTAGTAATTTTCCTTCGACAAATTTTAGGTAAAATGCTATACTACCCCCATGAATACTGATGAAATAAAACAATTAGCAGAGCTTGCGCGGGTGTCACTGTCCGATGAGCAGGCAGGTAAATTGGGTGAGGATTTTAAAAATATCCTTGGCTATATTGACCAATTATCCGCAGTGGATGTTACGGGAGTAGAGCCATTTAACGGACCGGTGGTAAACCAATTCCGTGATGATGTAGCTAGCCTCGCGGATGATGCTACACATAAGTTGGTCGTAAACAATTTTCCTGACGGCCAGGATGGATTTTTAAAGGTACCTAAAATTCTCTAAATTATATGATAGATTTTAAAACACAAACTATATTTGACTTGCATAACATGCTTGTAGCTAAAACCGTTACGGTGCGAGACTTGGTAGAACATGCACGAGTTATGGCAGAGCAAACAAATGACCTCAATATTTTCCGTGAGGTTTTTACCAGTAGTGATATCGATGTGCGGATTGATACAGCGCAGCAAATGATCGACAACGGTACTGCCAGTGTACTGACTGGGATACCATATGCCGTAAAAGACAACATATTAATACAGGGACATATCGCCAGTGCATCATCTAAAATGCTCGAAAACTATACTGCCAGTCATAGTGCAACTGTGATTAACAAGCTCGACGCAGTAGGAGCTGTCGCGATAGGACGCACAAACATGGATGAGTTCGCCATGGGATCAAGTACCGAGAACAGTGCTTACGGTCGCACGAAACACCCGCTTGACCCGACTCGTGTACCAGGTGGTTCATCAGGAGGGTCTGCTGCGGCAGTACTTGCTGGATGTGTCGCCTTTACCTTGGGGACTGATACTGGGGGATCAATTCGTCAACCAGCAGCATTCTGTGGTATTGTTGGACTGCATCCGACGTATGGATCAGTATCACGTCATGGAGCTATTGCACTGGCTTCATCAATGGACCAGATAGGACCTATAGCAAAGACAACTTCTGAAGTACAGGCAATCTTTGATGTTATGGTAGGACCTGATACAGATCATGATAACCAATCCAGAGAAATAGTTAAAATAGATAAAAAACCACAGACTATCGGTGTACCGTGGAAATTACTTGATATTCCTGGAGTGAGTGAGACCGTAAAAAATAACTTTACAGAAAGTATTGAAAAATTAAAAAACGCAGGATATGAGGTTCGTGATATAGAACTACCTCATGCAGCACTTGGACTGGCAACGTATTATATTATTTTACCTGCAGAAGTTTCTACAAACCTCTCTCGGATGGATGGTGTACGTTTTGGGCTACGTAGTGGTGATACAAACTTGAAAAACCTGTACGGATCATCGCGTGCTGATGGTTTTGGTCCGGAGACTACTCGACGTATCATGCTCGGTACGTATATCCTCTCAGCAGGGTATTATGATGCGTACTATAACAAGGCACAAAAAGTACGCACTATTATTGCAAACGAGTATAACAGTATTTTTAAAACAGGAGTTGACCTGATCCTGACTCCCACAACACCAACGACTGCTTTTACCGCAGGTGATAAGTCAGATCCAGTGGCGATGTATTTTGCGGATATTTTTACCGCGGGAGTAAACCTGGCACAGGTCCCAGCTATTAGTGTACCATCAGGGTACGATGAGAGCGGACTGACGTTTGGTATCCAAGCCATCGCTCCTGCAGGAGGAGAGTCACAACTGTTCCAGTGGGGCAGTGAGTTTGAAAAATTGGTATAAAAAATTTTCCGAAGTAGTCATAGTGCTACTTCGGAAATTTTTTAATTTAAAAGTTTTTTTATTTTTTCCCACAAAATACCGCAGAAAGATTTTATCTTAGGTAATTTTTCCCAAGGAAAATAAATGAACGGATCATCAACTCTTTTTTCAATGAGTTCACCGTAATATGAAACATTTTTAAATACACTGAACTTGTTTTCAATAAGAACTGCATATCTAATGTTTTTCATATTAAATCCTAATTCTTTTAATATCTTGTGTATTGCAAAAAGAGTTTGACCGAGGTCATTTATATCTTCTACAATAAGAATTTTTAAGTTTTTATCGGTGATTGGAAATGGATCAACTCGAGGATTGTCTCGAAGTGCTACCTTCCATGTCTCCATTTCAAGACATAATAGGTGACTTAATTGTACTGCTGGACTTAATCCTCCACGAGTAATCCCTACAACAATATCAGGATTAAAATTGTCTTTATCTGCTAGGATTTTAGTGTATATAATATTAACTAATTTGTTAATATCTTTGTTTGTTTTTATTGCTTTGTACATATGTTTAAGATTTTTATTTATAAATTTTTATAATAGTATTATATTCAAAAAATATTGTCAATACCCAAAACACAATAACTTGATTTATCTAAAAAAGTATGATAATATAAGCACATTATGGCATTTATCGATGAAGTATTAATTAATATAACTGCGGGACGCGGAGGAGATGGAGTAGTACGCTGGCGACAAGAAAAATTTAAACCTCTTTCAGGGCCTGGAGGGGGTAATGGTGGCGCTGGAGGGTCTGTGTACGCTCTGGCTATTTCTGATGTCTCATACCTGGATTACTATCGCCACAGTAAAAAATTCCAGGCACAAAACGGAGACCCAGGAGATAACTTTAGTTGTCAGGGATCGTATGGCGAGGACTTGGTATTAAAATTTCCTATTGGTTCTATTATAAGTAATAAAACTACAGGAGAAATTTTTGAACTGACATATTTAGGAGAAAAAATTAAAATCCTGTCTGGTGGACGAGGAGGATTGGGTAATGAACACTTTAAAAACTCTCGTAACACCACTCCCAAGGAATCTACTCCAGGAGACGCAGGAGAAACAGGAGAATTCCATATACAACTGCAACTCTTTGCTGATGTGGGACTGGTAGGATTACCAAACGCTGGTAAGTCATCACTGCTCAATACACTCACCCGTGCTAAATCTAAAATCGGTAGTTACCAGTTTACGACACTGGACCCACACTTGGGAGCGTTTTATGAATTTATTATTGCCGATATTCCGGGGCTGATCGAGGGAGCAAGTGATGGTAAGGGGCTTGGAGTAAAATTCCTGAAACATATAAACCGTACGCACATGATCCTACATCTGGTATCATGCGAAGAAGGTGAAAAAATGTTACCAAGTTATATCGCCATCAAAAAAGAGCTCGAGAAATTTAATCCAGAATTGATTAAGCGACCAGAGATGATTTTAATTACAAAAACAGATGTACTGGCAGATGGGGAATTAGATCCAATTCTAAAACAGTTTGAGCAGTTTGGTATACCGATGATGAGTATTTCACTGTATGACGATGAATCAATTAAAAAATTCTCGGACACATTGGTACAAAAACTACGTGAGATACAGGCAGAAATCGCTCGAAAAGCAATAGAAGCTGAGAAAAAAATACCCGAAGAGACTTTTGATTTTGAGTAGGGTTTGCGCAAAACAAACAAGGGGGCGGCACCTACGGTGCCGCCCCCTTGTTTGTTGATGGAATAATAAATAGTTGACAAATATCTTATTTCGTGTAATATATTATAGAACCGTAAAATATAAAAAGTATGTCAAATTCTCAAGAAAGTAACCAATTTGCAATTATTATTGAACTATTAGAACAAGAGCTGATTGGAAAAAGAATATCTAAATCAGAAATTAATCAAAAAAGTGAGATACCTCACCAATCTCAACAAGACGAACTCAAGAAAAAAGATCTTTGGGAAAATATAGAATTCTTAGGAATTCCAAAGAAAACAAGCCATAAGTTCTTAAGATTTGAAGAATCTAAAGAACTATTTTCAGATTATCCACTTCATGAATTTTCTTCTAATTAAGAGTATTTATTTAATAAATTCTTCACATTAGTGGAGAATTTTTTTATATACAGAAAACCTCTTTCATGCTACGATAGGCTTATTATGGCTAAAAAACCTCTTAAAAAATCATCAGATAATATCGTTATCCGTGGGGCGCGTACGCATAACTTGAAAAATATTGACGTGACCATACCGCGAGGCAGTATGACAGCTATTACCGGGCTTTCAGGGTCTGGTAAATCCTCTCTGGCTTTCGATACGATATTTGCTGAGGGACAGCGTCGTTATGTGGAGTCACTCTCTGCATATGCCAGACAATTCCTGGGTAACATGCCGAAACCTGACGTGGACGAGATTACAGGACTCTCTCCTGCAATTGCCATCGATCAAAAAACTGGTGGCACCAGTAGTCGTTCGACCGTGGCAACGATCACTGAGATATATGATTATCTACGTGTACTGTATGCACGCGTAGGTAAACCATACTGTGTGGAGTGTGGACGTAAAATAGAAAAGCTTTCTACTGAGGAAATCATTAACTTTGTCACCGATAAAATCAATCAATTTAAAGATACCCACAAAGGTCAGAAAAAAATCCTCGGAGTGAGTTTTAATGATACACCAGTATACATCATGGCGCCCGTAGTACGTGGACGTAAGGGGGAATACTATCAATTGCTCTACGATATGCTTGGCAAGGGGTTTTCTCGTGCTCGTATTAACGGTACCGTGCACTCACTACGTGAGAAAATTGTTCTGGAAAAAAACTCTAAACATGACATCGATTTTATTATCGATGAAATTGCGGTACATGAATTTATCGATGATCCGAAACTTGCCGGAGAGAGACTTGCCGAGGCAGTAGAGCTGGCACTCACAGAATCCGAAGGAATGGTACGCGTAGTGTTCGGTGATGCAACCGTGACTGATACGTATACTCCAGAGGAATTCCTCATGTCGAGTAATTTTTCGTGTCCGCATGACGGATTCTCGTTTCCTGATATTGAACCGAGACTGTTTTCATTTAATAGTCCGTACGGTGCCTGCCCAGAGTGTAATGGACTGGGGACGTATCATTTGTTTGGTAATGACAACGATGATGTTTGTAAAGTATGTAACGGTAGTCGACTACGTCCAGAAGCACTCCATGTATTCCTCCATGGTAAAACAGAGAGCGCTCAGGTAACAGATAAAAATCGTGATGAGTTCGTAAATATTGTGGATATTACCGATATGACTATTGAACAAGCGGTAGATTTTTTTGCAGACTTGGAACTATCTCCCAAGGATCGTACCATAGCATCAGTAGTACTCAAGGAAATAGAAGACCGTCTGGTGTTTATGCACGATGTGGGACTGGCATACCTGACGCTCTCACGTAAATCCAACACCCTCTCAGGAGGTGAGGCGCAGCGTATACGCCTGGCATCACAGCTCGGGTCGCAATTGGTGGGTGCATTGTACGTATTGGATGAGCCGACCATTGGACTACATCAACGTGATAATGAGCGATTGATACATACACTCGAATCACTCCGTGATCTGGGTAATACGATCATCGTGGTAGAACATGACGAGGATACTATATTTGCTAGTGATTATATCGTGGATATTGGTCCTGGTGCAGGGGTACACGGCGGTAATGTCATTGTCCAAGGAAACTTGCAGGAATTACTTGCAGGTAAAAACAAGGAACAGTCTCTCACGATAGATTACCTGCAGGGTACGGCCCGTGTCGAGATACCACGTGATAGGCGTGATAATGACAAGGGATGGATTAATATCGAGGGAGCGACTATTCACAGTTTAAAAAACCTGAAAGTCTCTGTTCCATTGGGTCGTATGACAACCATCACGGGTGTATCGGGTAGTGGTAAATCGACTTTTATGTACGAAGTACTGTATAAGAATCTCCAGGGATTACTAGAGCGTCGGACTCGCACCGCAAAGGTGTACAATGCGAGTAAATTTGAAAAAACAGGCGAGGTGTCTCGCGTAATCATGATTGATCAATCATCTATTGGTCGTACATCACGATCAAATCCTGCAACCTATACAGGAACATGGACATTTGTGCGTGATCTGTTTGCAGCAACTACGGAGTCACGCGTACGCGGATGGGGACCAGGAAGGTTTAGTTTCAATGTAAAGGGCGGACGTTGTGAAGCATGTCAGGGTAATGGTGAGATTGCAGTAGAAATGCACTTTCTCCCAACAGTGTACGTAACCTGTGATGTATGTATGGGTAAACGTTTTGACAAGGAAACCCTCAAGGTAGAATACAAACCTGCAAAAGAAAAGAAAGGTAAAAATATTTACCAAATACTTGAAATGACCATCGAGGAAGCATATGACTTTTTCTACGACATACCTGCTATTGCAGATCGTATGCGGTCACTGCTGGATGTAGGGCTTGGATATATTAAACTCGGTCAACCATCGAACACCCTCTCAGGAGGGGAGTCACAGCGTGTTAAAATATCATCAGAATTGTATCGTCCGATGACTCAGAAAACTATTTACCTCCTGGATGAGCCAACCGTAGGGCTGCATTTCGAAGACGTGCGTAAACTCATTGAGGTGCTTCAGAAACTTGTTGACAGAGGAGGAAATACCGTCGTGCTGATTGAACACAATCTCGATGTTATCAAGTGTGCCGACTATCTGATAGACTTTGGTCCTGAGGGTGGTATCGGTGGCGGACATATCATCGCCAAGGGTACCCCAGAGGAGGTTGCAAATAATCCAGACAGTCACACAGGGAAATATCTTAAGAAAGTTTTGAAAAAGAAATAGACACTATACCACAGCCCCGTAAGGGGTTTTATGGTGTAATAAAAATATTTGACTTATTTTTATGGATATGCTAGTCTATAGGTATTCAAAAGATTTTTCAGTAAGCAAGTGTGACCCCTCTGCGGGAATATTCTCTACAGAGGTGAACCGAACGATGTATAAACGATGTGTATATTTGAGGTATTTGTTCTTTTATCAATCATGTTTTATTAATTTTATATTTTACTATTATGTCAAAAGTTGCTGTAAATTTTAAACCAAAGACTACTACTAAAAAGCTCCTCAAAGGGCTTCAGGATCGTGCACAAGACGTTATTACTAATCGTTTTGGATTGGATGGAGAAGGGGAGAAAATGACCCTTGAATCAATTGGTCAAAAATATGGTATTACTCGTGAACGTGTACGTCAGATTGAAAACTTTGCACTCAATGCAATTAAAAAATCAGATACTTTTACCGAAGCAGAGGAACTCTTTGCAGAACTTCGTAATATTATGAAAGTCTTGGGAGGTATTGTTGCTGAACATGAACTTTTAGGAGCTATATCAAAAGACAAAGTTACACAAAATCATGCAACGTTTTATTTAACACTAGGTGACGACTTTACTGATCTCAAAGAAGATCCAAAATTCCACAAACGTTGGGTTCTCGAATCAAAGGTAGCTGACCGTGTTCACAAAGCACTTGATGATATTCACACAGGACTTGCTGAAAACGATCTGATCGCTCACAATGAAATGATTGATCGTATCCTCTGTCATGATGGTATTTGTGAAATTGATACTCATGAAGTAGACAAGGAAACAGCTCATCGTTATCTAAAAATCTCTAAGACAGTTTCTCAGAACAAACTTGGCGAGTGGGGACGTACGAGTTCTCCAAATGTTAAAACTCGTGGAGTAAAAGACTATGCATACCTGGTAATGCGTCAGCACGGGTCACCAATGCACTTCCGCGAAGTTGCAGAAGCAATCTTTAAAACCTTTGGCAAGAAAACTCACACGGCAACAACTCATAACGAACTTATTAAAGACGAGCGATTCGTATTAGTAGGACGTGGAGTATATGCTCTCAAGGAGTGGGGATACAAAGGTGGTGTTGTTCGTGAAGTTATAGAAGACATCTTGAAAAAAGAAGGACCTATGGCAAAGGAGGATATTGTAGATAAAGTTCTTAAAGAGCGATATCTCAAGAAAAATACCATCCTCGTAAACCTGATGAATCCTAAGAATTTCCGTAAATTATCTGATGGGCGCTATACCGTTGCATCTGATAAAACTTCTAAATAGTTATTAAAATATCACTCCAGAAATGGGGTTTTATTTTTCTTTTAATTTTGGAGTAATCATGATAAAATAAACATAATGATTGTACTCGAGTGGATTTTTAATATTTTGTTTAAAACTTCTGGCGTATGGTTTCCATTACTTGCTATTTATTTTGCGTGGAAATATGGCACCAAATGGTGGATGCAGTATGTAAACAAGGCGTACCTGATGAATCTAAAATGGGTACTCCTTGAAATAAAACTCCCTGAACAGGTAGATAAAACTCCCGAGGCCATGGAGATTATTCTCGGGAACATATTTTTCCAAGGAGGGGGAGTGGGGTCATGGAATGACCGTGTTTGGAGTGGTAAACTGCTCGCTTATACTACGCTCGAGATAGTCTCCATAGAGGGCAGTATTCGTTTTTTTATTCGAGCAGAAGCAAGATTTAAGAATTTAATCGAAACACAGGTGTATGCTCAGTACCCACGCGCAGAGGTTTTTGAAGCGGAAGACTATACAAAAAAGGTCCCTATGTTTACTAGGAAAACAACAGATTGGCAATGTAGAGCTCTGGAGTTTAAACTTTCAGGAGATGATGCAATTCCGATAAAAACCTATATTGATTTTGGTATGGACAATAACTCTCTACAACTTGATAATGAGCATCGTATGGACCCGTTGGTTCCATTACTTGAAATGATGGCTAGTTTAAAACAAGGCGAACAATTGTGGATACAAATATTTATACGTGCAGCAGGTAAAGAATTAAAGCTTCAAAAAAAAGATTTATTAACACGGGGAGTTAGTCAATTTTTAGTTGGAGAAGGAGAAAAATTTCTACACATTGAAAAAGATGGCTCAAAGATGACTTGGGAAGATCAAGGTAAGGCATTAATAAAAGACCTGATTGAAAAACATTCAACTACAGAAATTGTTGACGAAAAAGGCAAGGACGGTAAACCAGACAAGATGAAAAAAATAGGGGGATATAAAAACTTGTCTCCGATGGATAAACATACCGTGGATATTGTGCAACGCAGTATTATGAAGTATGGTTTTGATACAGGTATGCGTGCAGTATATTACGCAAAAAAAGATAACTTTGGCGGTATGCGATCACCTGCAGAACTTACGAGTGCTATGCGCCAATTTAGTGCTCCTGGATATAATGGTTTAGGAATGGACGGCGGCACCTTTACTCGTGGTTGGGAGTTTGCAGCATGGCAGGATCCAACAGGTCGCCGCTCTCTAGTGTTGGAGGAGCAAATGTTCCAGGCATATGTAAAACGTGCGTTTTATTATCACGAAGCAGAGGGAGAGATATTTGATAATCCTAAAAAACCTTTTACGCTCAATACTGAGGAACTTGCAACGATATTCCACTTCCCAGGAAAAACTATTTCAAGTCCTTCATTTACTCGTGTAGAATCTCAAAAATCACAACCGCCAGAAAATCTGCCTATTTAGCATATGGACTACGATCAATTACCCGACAACCCGTCAATACCTCAGGAACAGATTCCCTCAGATACATCGTCTGGAGGTTTTTCTCTTTTCTCTATGAATTTTTTGGGATACGGTTTTTGGAAAAAACTTTTTACTGTCGGCATATTGATTTGTGTTACTATATTTGTATACATATTTATTATCATGCTGCCGCCGTCATCATTTTTACCTGAATCAGTAACGGTGTCACCTGGTAGTTCAGTACGCGGTGTTGGTGTTATCTTAAAAGAGAAAAAGGTTATAAAAAGCACTACTTTGTTTTCTGTTTGTAGTCGTCTCGTGGCTAAAAAGGGAACTATCGCAACAGGAAGTTATCTGTTTGAGTCACCAGAATCAGTATGTCGTGTCGCATATCGGATGTCACGAGGTATATATGGTTCGTCTCAAATAAAAATAACTATACCTGAAGGGTCAACGAACACTGAAATTGCTGAAATTGTATTTCAAAAATATCCAACTTTTGATGATAAGCAATTTATTAAATCAACACAGAATCTACAGGGTTATTTGTTTCCGGATACGTATTTCTTTTTCAAAGGGTTTACTACGGATCAATTATTAGAAAAACTTCAAAAAACATTTTCAGAAAAAACGGACACGGTTTTTGCGGGCGTTTCTGATTCTCAGAAAAAACAAATAGTTATTATGGCAAGTATTTTGGAACGTGAAGCAAGTAATGCTGATGAGGCAAAAGTAATCTCTGGGATTCTCTGGAAACGTATTGAAATAGGCATGCCACTACAGGTAGATGCAACCTTAAAATACACGACCGGGAGAGGCAGTAATAAGCTTACACTGGATGACTTACAAAAGGATGGTCCGTACAATACCTATACGCGAACCGGATTACCAGCAGGACCAATTGGTAATCCAGGACTTGCGATGATTACTGCTGCCATGAATCCAGAAAAGTCTCCTTACTTGTATTATCTGCACGATAGTAGTGGTAAAATATATTATGCAAAAAGCCACGATGAACATGTGCGTAATAAGAATAAATACCTTAAGTAATTTTTACTCAGACCAACTGACGGAATCAAGTAATGCCTAGAATCTATTTCTGTTCTTTATAAAAATTTTCTTATACATTTCCTGAGGGTTCGTTAGGAATATATATAAAAAATGGCTGGAATTGCTTCCTTCTTTGTTAAAACTACCCCTTTTCGCGCAAGGCTACGCAGGGCACAGCGAAGGAGATAAGTCGCAATTCTGGCCCTTTTGTGCTACTATGACTTATATATGAAGAACAAGAAACTTGCATTTGTGGACTTGGAAACCACGGGAATTAACCCAGCACTCCATGAAATCATTGAAATAGGATGTCTCATTGCTAGGCCAAATGAGTCGGGTGGTTATGATGTATTGGACGAGTTCGAGATAAAGGTTCGTCCGGAACATATTGAGACTGCGGAACAATCAGCACTCCGGATTAACGGATACGACGAGTCAGCGTGGGTGTTTGCTCATAGTCAGACTGAAGGACTCCAGATGCTTTCTCAAAAATGTAAAGACTGTGTCCTGGTGGGACAGAACATATCGTTCGACTACTCATTTCTCGCACATGCTTTTGGTACGTACGGAGTGGAGGATCCTTTTTTCTATGCGAAACTTGACACGATCTCTATGGCATTTTTAAAATTCCGCGATGAGGAAGACACTGATAAATTTACCCTCAGAGCCCTCTGTGACCGGTTTAATATTAAAAACGATCGTGCCCACACAGCACTTGCAGATATCCGTGCAACGTATCAGGTATTCTTGAAATTACTCCAGAAATAAAGCACCAGTACATGATGCTTTTTTTATTATCTAAATATGCTATGCTCAGGATAATGAATATTTGGCAATATGTTAAAAACAGTATTATGAAAAAGTCAGGGCACCGTAAGCGGGTTTTTGTGGGTGTTTCGGGCGGTGTGGATTCATCGGTATCTGCGGCACTACTCCTGGAGCAGGGATATGACGTTACGGGGGTGTTTATCCGTACCTGGACACCAGAGTGGCTCCCATGTACCTGGCGATCTGAGCGTCGTGATGCGATACGAGTGTGTGCTCACCTCCAGATTCCGTTCGTGGAACTAGATTTATCTGCAGAATATAAACAGGGGGTGGCGGATTATATGATCTCAGAATACGCAGCAGGGAGGACGCCAAACCCTGATGTGATGTGTAACCGCGAGGTAAAGTTTGGTGGGTTTTTATCTTGGGCACTTGCTCACGGTGCAGATTATGTGGCAACAGGGCATTATGCTCAAATACAACATCGTAACTCGAGAGGATTTATGAGTGATTTTTTTTCTGACCAACTGACGAGATATAACCACTTGCAAATCCCATTTCTGTTCATAAAAAAAATCATCTCACAAACCATCTCTCGTAGTAGAAATACTCGTCATATATTAAAACTGGTAAAAGGAAACGACCCATCAAAAGATCAATCATATTTCCTATGGACTCTTTCCTATGAGCAATTAGAGCATGTATTGTTCCCCATAGGACACCTGCCCAAGTCTGCTGTGAGAGAGCTTGCCTTACAATATAAACTCCCCACAGCAGTTAAAAAAGACTCCCAGGGAATCTGCTTTATCGGTATGGTGGATATGAAACAATTCCTCAAGCATTATATCGATGTCACACCCGGAGATGTACTGGATACACAGGGGAGGATTATTGGAATCCATGAGGGAGCAGTACTGTATACCTTGGGCGAACGACACAGTTTTACGATTACTGACAAGGGTACTGACGATAAACCATATTATGTCACTGATAAGGACTTTACCTGTAATACGATAACCGTTAGTCAGGAGCCATGGTCAGGATTAACTGAAAAACAAACAACATACGCATTAGATCATGTAGTATGTAGAGGAGATATTACTCCAAGTAAGAAATACGTCGCACACGTGAGATATCATGGTGAGAACAAATCATGTACTATCGCCGATACGAATGGAGTATATAAGGTAATATTTACCGAGCCAGATTATACCATCGCACCAGGACAATCCATTGTAGTGTATGACGGAGATGTCTGTGTTATGGGTGGTATTGTAAAGTAGTCATGATTAATTTATAATATACCCTATATGCAAATAAATTTTATTGAACTTGGAACTGCGGGACTTGATCAGTTTTTTATCCTCATGACACTTGCAGGATTGTTTGGATTGTTATTAGGTATTGAACGTAATGCTATGCATAAAACAGCAGGTATGCGTACCTATGCGTTGGTGTCACTCTCTGCCGCGTTTTTTGTACTCATTGCTCGCACTGCAATGATTAGTTTTAATATTGATAACGGCAGTATTACTATCCAGTTTGCAGCAGCGATCGTTACCGGTGTTGGATTCCTGGGAGCAGGACTTATCCTACATAACGGCGCCAAGATTGAAAACGTTACTACAGCTGCCGGGTTGTGGATGTGTGCGGCTATCGGTATGGCAACAGGGTTTGGTTTTATTTGGTATGCTGCAATGGCAACAGGTATGACCTTTATTACTCTGCGCACACTCTCTGCGTTAGAACGCGCTATGAGAAAAAAGCTTTTCCCAGAAGAAATATCACCTTGTGATAATTGTGGATCATGTGACGCTTGTAATGGTAAAACCCTGTAGGGTTTTTTACTTTACTTTTTCTCAAAAATCTGTAATATAGTTTCTGTTACGCTTTTACTAAGTGATATGCTTCAATCACACACTTATAAAACAAACTCCCAAAGAAATTTCGGGATTCCGAACGTAGCTTCGGCAATTAATTATTTATGGCTAAAAAAATCACTAAATCGCTAAAACTCCAAATTGTTGGGGGGAAGGCAACACCAGCACCACCACTTGGTCCAGTACTTGGTCAGGCAGGTATTAATATCGGAGAATTCGTAAAACAGTTCAACGATGCAACAGCTGCAAATATGGGAGAGATGGTATCAGTAGCAATGAACTGTTACGATGATCGTAGTTTTGATTTCATTATTAAAACTCCACCTATCTCAGCGCTTCTTAAAAAATTCGCAGGAGTAGCAAAAGGATCATCTAACCGTAAAAAGGCTGGAACTATCACTGATGCACAGCTCACTGAGATCGCAACGATCAAGGTCCCAGACCTGAACTGTTATGGCAACATCGACGCAGCACGTAAAATCGTTGCTGGTTCAGCAAAATCAATGGGTATCGAGATTAAAGGATAACACTTGAAAAAGGGTTTTTCTTTTTGACACAAAACTGTTTTCATGTATAATTAAAAACAAAAAATAATGTGCGCAATTGCATATTAAAAACCTTAAAATCACTTAAATAATATAATATGAGGTTACCAAATTTAAAAATAATTTTTGCAACTACGAAATGCAGAGCGATTGGCTACAATGAGCCAGTGAACAATTCCTATCTTCCTTGGAAGGTAAGGTCTGATGTGGTTCGTTTTAAAAAACTAACCACAGGTAATATTGAACAAGGTCTTATGAATGCTGTTGTTATGGGCAGAACCACATGGGACACTCTTTCTGAAAAGTTTAGACCACTGCAAGGACGAGCCAATTTTGTATTTTCTGGTCAGGAAGATTTTATATGCCTTGGTGCGACAAAAGTATCAAATAGACAAACAATTATAGATCACGCAACAAATAATCCTCACATAGATGTTTGGATTACTGGAGGCAGTCAGATATATGATTTATTTTTTGATTACGCTTCGGAAATACATTGGACACTTATTGATGTATTTTTACCGAAGGACGACAATCTGGTTTATTTGAATGGTTTTTATCGACTAGCAAGTTCTCAATTTAGAGTTGTTTCTACGGAGAATTTTGTAAAATCTGACACAGACCAGTATGATTCACAGTATATTATTTTACGAGGATTAGAAAAACCACCGACTTCACATTTCCAGGAGCCTTATATCGGATGTTAATATACTAGACCTTAATTTTAAAGCTTAGCATAATGCTAAGCTTTTTTTATTCCTATTTTCTGCTATAGTACCCATATGAACACCCCTGCGATGTATATTAAAAACCTCGTTTTAGAGGCACTCGCCAATCTCGGCATCCCAGAGACTGCTTTTACCGTGGAACATCCAGGCGAGCTCTCTCATGGGGATTATGCGTGTAATGTGGCGATGGTGTGTGCAAAACAATTAGCAAAGAATCCAAAGGAAGTTGCTGAGATGGTAGTAGGGGAAATTCAAAAAATTCAGACACACCCCCGACCCCCTCTTGTAGAGGGGGTCGTACCAGGTGCTTCCACATGGCAAGAGGAGATGATAGCGAACATCGAAATTGCGGGACCAGGGTTTATTAATATCACCCTCTCACCAGAGTTTTTTACAGAGAGTATTGGGTCTATATTGGAGCAGGGGGATACGTTTGGTAGTATTGATCTGTATACAGATAAAAAGGTCCTCATTGAACACTCATCTCCTAACTTGTTTAAACCATTTCATATTGGGCATTTGATGAACAATACCATTGGTGAGTCGCTTGTGCGTATTATGCGTTTTACGGGAGCACAGGTAGAGACTATGACGTTCCCGTCTGATATCTCTATTGGTATTGCAAAAGCTATTTTTGTAGTATTGGAAAAATCTCCAACAGGCGAATTACATAATCCTTCAATTGAGGTACTTGGTAATGCGTATGTGGAAGGTACAAAACGTTATGAAGAAGATCCGTCAATACATAATCAGGTAAAGGAAATTGCAGATAGTTTATATTCACGAAAAGAGTCATCAGAACTTACTGCTTTTGAAAATTGTAAAACCTTTAATATTGAATATTTTAAATGGATAATTGCAAAACTTGGTTCACACATGGATCATTATATTTATGAGAGCGAGGCAGGAATAGCTGGTAAAGAACTCGTTCTCCAGAATACTCCATCAGTGTTTACTCACAGTGAGGGAGCTATCGTGTACATACCAGAGGAAGCTAAAAAACATATTAGTACCGCAGTATTTATCAATAGCCAGAACAATCCTACCTACGAGGCAAAGGACTTGGGGTTATTACAGATGAAGTTTAATCGATATAATCCTGACTTATCAATAGTTATTACTGACAATCAACAAATACCGCACTTCGATGTAGTATTTGATGTTGCTGAGAAAATAAAAAGTACTTGGTCAGAAAAAAGCGCACACGTTCCTCATGGACGTATGAGTTTTAAGGGGCAAAAGATGTCTTCGAGACTTGGTGGAGTGCCGCTGGTAACCGACATGGTTGAGACGGTTGCAGAGGAGGTGCGAGAGAAATCAGAGCGTCAAACAGATGCGGAGATTATCGACAATATTGCACTCGGCGCAATCAAGTTTGCAATACTCCGCAGTAGACCAGGAAGTAATATAAACTTTGATCCAGAGACCTCACTCTCGTTCGAAGGGGATTCAGGCCCGTATTTGCAGTATACTCATGCGCGTATTGAGAGCTTGCTGAGCAAGGGTAGGGAATTAGGAATTGATTTTATCTCGCCTAAATCAGGCGATGTATCTGATCAGGTTACTAACATACACCGCATCCTTTATCGCTTCCCAGAAGTAGTACAAAGTGCTGCAGAGAGCTATGGACCACACCATATCGTGACCTATCTCCTCCAAGTAGCTCAAGAATTTAACTCATATTATGGAGCAAACAAGATGGTAGATGATCAGGATCTATCTACTACTGCGTACAGACTGAGACTGGCACGAGCACTGCAGGTAGTACTCCACAACGGACTATACCTGCTGGGTATGTCAGCACCAAAACAGATGTAATAATAAAAAACCACTTCTAACTTATGAGGCGGTTTTTTATTATCCAATATTAAAGTATTTCATCGCCGTAACAATACCCCAGATTAGGTAAAAAACGACTACATACCAATTGCGTTTGATAAGGTTCGCGATAACGAGCGCCGCAGCACCAGAGAGGTTGGCAATCATAAATACACTCCCTCCCCATGGTAGTACTCCGAACATACACAGTGCAAAAGCCCCGAGTACTGCAATAGTCCCATACCAGCCAATAAAATCCCAAAGTGTTTCTGTCATAATAAAAACAGTATACTATGCGTATACTGTTTTTGCAATTACTTTTTAGTAACTTTTTTAACTGCTTTCTTTGCGGCTACTTTAGTTACTTTTTTAGCAGCTACCTTTTTAACAGGTGCTTCTTTTTTAGTCGCTACTTTTGATTCTTTTGTAGCTTTTGGTGCTACTTCTTTAGTTACTGCTGACTTGATAATTTCACCTAAATCCTTTTTAGGAGCTTTAGTGTCCTGTAGAAGTGAGATAATCGTGTCGAGTTTTTGACCAAGTGCGATAAAATCTGATTTAAAATCAGGAGTACTCTGTGATGGGGTATCGCGATATACATTTTTTGAAAATGCTGGTTTGTTAAAATCTCGTCCACCACGGTCATCACGTGGTGATGTTTCGCGGTTATTACCGAAACAGTCACTACAACGTACTGGTTTATCACCACTTGGGCGAAAAGGTACCTGACAGTTTTTACCGCAGTCATCACATACTGCAGGGAACATTGGGCGGTCTTCGTTATTGTTAAAACGAGGCTTGTTAAAATCTCGTCCACCACGGTCACCACCAAATTTATTACCACCACCGAAACTACCTCCTCCAAAACTACGTCCACCACGGTCATCGCGCCCTCGATCGTTTGATCGTTTAAAATCTTTCATGAAAAATATATGTTAATTAATTAATATTATGTTTACAAGTATACAGATATATTGCAAAATAGCAAGTGTTTTTCAAGGAGGTAAACAAAAAGAGCTCCGCAATAACTATTGGAGCTCTATTTTCTGGTTTTATTTATTTTTTCTTTAACAACTCTTGCCTGATATCGGTAAAATTATCATAACCATCCTTTAGTATACCTAAGATAATTAGAGTAAGTATTATTTTCCAGGTATTACTATTAGTTATATATAAGGGGATACTAAACCCAATAATAATTCCTAACGAGCATAATGGCGACCACCAAGTGGTCCAAAACTTTTTAATATGCGAATGATGCATTCTAAATGTTTTTTGAGGATGTATAATCACCGCTAAGATAAACAGTACGAACTGTAATACGCATGCAAATGGATATAGTACTAGGTATAGAGTACTTTCAGTTTTAGGATGTGTGGTTATACCAATAAGTAAAAACGAGAAATACGGTATGAATATATACCAACATAATAAATTTAACATAATCTTAAGTTTTTAATTTATAAAACAATACTCTATAACATTAAATTAGTCAATAACCTTGTAAAAGTTATTATTTTGCGTATACTACGTATATCTTGCTTTGATCCGACTAATCACCGGGGAGCACTTGAGAGAAAGCTAACATGTTAGCGAGTAGATTCAAGCAGGTAAGCCTGTTATAGCTGTAATGAGTTTATACTCCTCCGTCCTGTCGGACACCTCCTCTAAGAGAGGAGGAACTCACCAGACGTTGTGTTGTAGGCTCCTCTTGTAGAGGAGCTCCGCAAAGCGGTGAGGAGTATAATAAACCAAGGTGGTACCACGGATTCGACTATGCTCACCGTAAACGAAGCATATGAAAACTCGTCCTTGCATCATGACTTTTAGTCGTGAGCAGAGACGAGTTTTTTATTTTGAAATATGAAAGTAAATATTTTTTATTGCTAAATAAATGAGTATTAAAGGCCAGAACAGTATTACAGTTAGAGTTCCAAGTATTTTCATAAAAACATTAAAACCCCTTTTAGAAAATTCTTGAAATCCTGCTATTATAAATATAATACCAATACATAAATGGAATATTATTAAAAACTTTAACATATTGTCTATTATATCAATTTTTTATGAAAACCCCTAACCTAACCAATTATCAAACCGGTGAATTATCACCAAACGCTCAGAATGAAGAAAAAGTTCTGCAGTTTTGGGCTGAGCATAATATCTTTGAAAAAACTCTGGAGCGCGAGGCACCTGCGGGGGAGTATCACTTTTTCGAGGGACCACCGACAGCAAACGGTCGTCCAGGTATTCACCACGTTGCTGCACGAGGGTTCAAGGACCTGATCCCACGTTATAAAACCATGCGTGGATATCGTGTACACCGGCGTGCTGGATGGGATACTCATGGACTCCCCGTAGAACTCCAAGTAGAAAAGGAGCTTGGTCTGACAAGTAAAAAACAGATACAGGAGTACGGCACCGCACTGTTCAATCAAAAATGCCGCGAAAGTGTCTGGACGTACAAGGATGAATGGGAAGCGGTAACGACGCGTATGGGGTACTGGCTCGACATGGATCATCCGTATGTGACGTATACCAACGACTACATCGAGGGAGTCTGGAGCGTGGTCAAGAAAATCTCTGAGAGAAAATCCGCCGATGGACGAGATTTACTGTACAAAGATTTTAAAATCCTCCCATGGTGTACTCGCTGTGGAACAGGTCTCTCAAGCCATGAACTCAATCAGCCTGGCGCGTATCAAGATGTCAAAGACGTGACCGCGTATGTAAAGTTTAAGATGCCCATAGGATCAGAAATTTCTATGTTTGCCTCAGAAGAAAAATATGTTGATTTTTGGGAAAATTCCGTACTTGTTGGGCAAGTACAAAACCCGAAATATAATGAAAAACAAAAAGTAAAAATGAGTAAAGAAATTTTTATACTTGCTTGGACCACAACACCTTGGACACTTCCAGGTAATGTTGCGCTTGCTGTTGGAAAGGATATTAACTATGGTATTTATTTTTCAAAAAGTAAAAATGAGTTGTATTTATTTGCAAGACAATTTGAAGAAGCTGCAAAAAAAGAAATAGAAGACTTGGTTTTACTAAATACCACAAAAGGGGAATGGTTAGAAAGTGATAAAGTTTCATACGAACCACTTTATCCATTTATTTCTGACTTGTTACCAATTGATCAGCAAAGTAAATTAGAAAATGCATACCAAGTATACGCAGCTGACTTTGTCACTACTACCGACGGAACAGGGATTGTACATATTGCACCAATGTATGGAGCAGATGACTTTGACCTGGCTACGGCACACGATTTACCAAAGTTCCACGTAGTAGGTGAGGATGGTAAATATATTGATGGGTGTGATACAGAAACTCTAAAGTTGTCAGGGCGTTATGTGAAAGAGTCAGATGATGCAGGCAAGCCGACGTTTGCAATTGATATTATCAATGACCTAACGGCACGTGAGCTGTTGTTTAAAAAGGAGAACTACGTGCACAGTTACCCACACTGTTGGCGTTGTAATACGCCACTACTGTATTATGCGCGAGGGTCATGGTATTTCCGTATGTCGGCACTCCGCGCCCAACTCCTTGCAGCGAACGAAAACATTAACTGGGAGCCAGATCATATCAAGTCTGGACGATTTGGAGAGTGGCTCGACGGTATCCGTGACTGGGCAATATCACGTGATCGTTTCTGGGGGACACCGCTACCCGTCTGGCAAAACGCAGATGGGAGTAAGCGAGTCGTGATAGGAGGACTCGAAGATATTAAAAAGTATAGTAAAAAATCGGGGAATAAGTATTTTGTTATGCGTCATGGGGAGGCTACTAGTAATACCAATAGTATTGGAAGTATAGTGGATTGGATTCTTTACTGACTTCAACAGCAGGACTTACCGAAGAAGGTATACTTCAAGTAAAAGAATCGGTAAAAAGTATTACAGAAAATATCGATATTATTATTGCGTCGCCACTACTGAGAACTAAACAAACCGCAGAGTTATTTGCTCAGGAAATTGGTTTTAATAAAGAAATTATTTTTGACGAAAGACTTCGTGAACTACATCCAGGAGATGAGTATCAAGGAAAGTTATGGAGTGATTTTAGAAAAAACTTTAAAGATCATAAAGAAAAGTTTTCTAAAGTAATTCCTGGCGGAGAAAATTATGCTCAAGTAAAAACTAGAATGATGAGTGCTCTGTATGAATATGATAGCAGATATCAAGGAAAAAATATTTTAATAGTAAGTCATGCCGGGCCGATTATGGGACTTCTGTTTGGTAATAGTGGTATTTCTTTAGAAAATTTAAATGATACAATATGGAGATCATACGATATTAAAAACGCAGAAATCCGCGAAATTGATTTTTCACCATTACCACACAACGAACACTATGAACTTGATTTTCATAAGCCGTATATTGATGAAATTGAACTACAACTCGATGGTGAGAAATTAACTCGTGTTAGTGAGGTGATGGATGTATGGCTGGACAGTGGCTGTATGCCATACGCACAGAGTCATGTACTGGGTATGCAGATGGACTGGTCACCGGCGCCAGCGGACTTTATCGCTGAGGGAGCAGATCAGACGCGTGGATGGTTCTATACGATGCATGCTATTGCGAACCTCCTGAACGATACGCCGACCAATAACTATAACAATGTCGTATGTCTGGGGCTCCTGATGGCAGCAGATGGAACTAAAATGTCCAAATCAAAAGGCAACATCGTCAGTCCATGGGAGGTGTTTAGCAAGTTCGGGGCAGACGTTGCGCGGTTCTGGTTCTACAGTGTAAACGGTCCCGGAGAGACAAAAAATTTCGACGAGAAATCACTCGATGAAGTAAACAAAAAGGTGTTTAACCCACTGCGTAATGTCGTGAGTTTTTATGAGATGTATAAGCTGGACGAGGTACTCTCAGAGGATCCTTTGCAGAGTACTAACGTGCTCGATCAGTGGATACTGTCACTGTGGGCACAGACTCACGAGACTATAACCGTAGGACTGGATACATATGATATGCTCACCCCAACACGTGCCATAAAGGATTTTATTAGTGAGTTATCAACATGGTATATCAGGCGTAGTCGTGACCGATTTAAGTCAGATGATACAAACGATCGTAACTATGCATTGACTACGACACGGTATATTCTTAAACATATTGCAATTGCCATTGCTCCATTTACACCTTTTCTTGCAGAGGAAATCTGGCAAACACTTCGTCATCAAGACGACGAGATATCGGTACATTTGTGTGATTGGAATACCAACATATCAGCGTCTTTATGGTCTTTAGAAGATATGCATATTGCACGTAGTATAGTGACACTCGGATTGGAAGCACGACAAAAGGTAAATGTAAAAGTCCGCCAACCGTTGCAAAGTTTGAGAATTGGAGAAGATAATCTTGGTAAAGAATACTTAGATATTATTTGTGATGAGTTAAATGTAAAACAAATCATTATCGATGATACTCTATCACAGGGACAGGCACTCTTGGACACCGTAATCACGGATGACCTGCGTGATGAGGGTGATATGCGTGAGATAGTACGAAGTATCCAGGATATGCGTAAAACCGCAAACCTGGTACCAAGTGACGTCGTCACCGCATCGCTCACTGCCTCAGAGCCTGCATGGTTCAGTGCAAATCAGGTTCTCCATGATGAACTCCTGCAGACTGTGGGAGCCAGGGAAATAGTTTGGGGAGCAGAGGAGAATAAAGTAGAAAAAATTTAAAAATATGGATCAAAACACACTTATTGACTAATAGGTGTGTTTTGTGTATGATGAAAATAAATTCATTTACAATTTAAATTTAAATTATGTTCCCAAACAAAGATAAGTACAAATTATTGGGCCTACCAACAGATATCTCTGTTATACATGGACCAAACAAAGAAAAGCTCCAAAAAAGTGGTTCCTTAGAAGATTATTCTTTTATTGAAATTATTTTTAACAATGCTCCCTATTATATAGGACTCAAAGGGTTTAAAATTTTTGAAGAGCCGCGCGTATCAAAATCCAGAGGTTCAAATGCGACGTATTTAGCAAATGCTAAAAGTGAAAATAGAACCTTCTTGCTTCAGTATATGCCTAAAAATGCTGAAACATCTCAGCATTACCATGAACACACAGCAGAAGCCTTTCACTCATTGGCAGGAGCTGCGTCACTGGTTACTATTTGGCGAAATACTATCGAGCTAAATAATAACAGTGTGGTAAACGATCCATTTGTTATTCACAAGGTAACAACAGGATCAGAAACCGACTCTTTAATTTTACTAGAAATGGTTGAGGATGGCACTCCAAAACGTACTAATGATCAAGGAAAACTCGAGGATCATTTTTATGTATATCCAAAAACTCCTACATTAGATATCGTTTCAAATGGAAACTATCCCTCCAATGAGTTGAGTAATTTCGCAGAACACTCTTTTGAGATTGATGGTATAGCCTGCAAATCAATGGAAGGATTTTTACAATCCTTAAAAGAGCAAGATCAAAATGTCCAAAGACATATTTGCTCACTTCCTGGT